ATATGAGTGATGGGAGAGGCTGTCTTATTGGTTGAACAGGTGAGGTGGTCATCAGAAAAGGTAAGGCAGACAGAAAGAGAATATGAAATTGCTGTTATTTATATACAATAAAGATTGGGAATATTTCTAGTAGCAATGATCACAATTTATACAGTTGCTGGTGTTGTGTACCTTCAAGTCATTTCCGAGTTATGGTGACCCTAAGGCAAACCTATCACAAGGTTTTCTGACACTGGGAATGAGTGACTTGCTCAAGGTAATCCTGTAGCTTTACATGGTTGAATGGGGATTTGAAACCTGATCTCATGGGTCATGACTGAACACTCAAACCGCTGTGCAGTATTGGTTTCTAACTTATATAGAAGGGATATTTGAAGTGAGAAAAGTCATAGAGAATGCTTGTTTGAAGTAGTCAGTCAGTAATGTATCCTCATTTTTGCATTTCAAAATATGGTAACCCGAAGTAAGGGAGGGAAAAAAAGATAAGCATTCTCAATTTAAGAACATCAATCACCCAATGAAGCAGAATAACGACAGATTTAGAAAAGACTGAAAAATACTTCTTTAGCTGGTGCAAATAGATAAACCTCAACAATATATAGTAATGGCCACTAACTTATTTGGCTTTAACTGTTAGAATGAAACCATGCTTAGCACTGATGAGAGAAGAATGCCTCAGAGAGGGCAATAGCATTAGAGCTGATAGTCTGAGTGACCTGATATGCCTTCCCAGTTTGTACCCCAGTCCTCAAACTCCTATGATATAAACAGTGTCAGGGGCATCTTTTGCCCACTTCTCTTCTTTTCACCAGTCTTCTGTCAGAGAGATAAATTTATCATACCGAAAAATTTCTCTAAAATATGGAACTCTTATAAGAAAGTCTTTTGTTTTACTTCTTTACCCTACTCCCTTACTCATCAATCATAATCTCTGCAATAAACAATCTCCATTCATCCTTCCTAAGGTTATGAGCTCAACATGTTTGTACTACATTTGTTATCCATTATTACACAAGTGATTACACCACATCATGAAAGATAAGGCAGTCAATGATAGTCAGTCATGATGGCTATCTACAAGGACTGTGGAATTATTTGGCCTGTGGGGCCCATAGTATCTCTCCGAACCCACTAGGCGGGGAATGATTGTCAGAATTTGGCAAGAAACCAAGCATGACAGCATATCCAGGTGGCTACTTGCAAGGTCAAAATGACAAGGCAAGTTTAAATGTCTGATGAAACCATGAGGTAATGCCAAAAGAATTATGCAAGACAATATTTGATTGGCTGCGTCCTGTATAAAAGCAGAACAGCCAACATGGTGGTTGTTTGTGTTGGAATGCTCAAGTCTCAAGTCCTCAACGAGGAGCAGTTAGTTAGCTTAGAATAGTTTCCCTTCCCCCATGTCTCCTATATGACTGCTGGAATGTATCTAATTTCTTCTCTCCTCTCTGTTCCTGCTCTCATTCTGATTGGTTGCTTAAAATGGATGCTTTTCTATTGCAAGCTTTTTGAATTTGACTTTGCCTTCATGGGAGCCCCTGATGGTGCAGTGGGTTAAACCACTGAGCTGCTAAACTTGTTGACTGAAAGGTCGCAGGTTCGAATCCGGGGAGTGGTATGAGCTCCTGCTTTCAGCCCCAGCTTCTGCCAACCTAGCAGTTTGAAAACATGCAAATGTGAGTAGATCAATAGGTACCGCTCTGGCGGGAAGGTAATGACGCTCCATGCAGTCATGCTGACCACATTACCTTGGAGGTGTCTATGGACAATGCCAGCTTTTCGGCTTAGAAATGGAAATGAGCACCAACCCCCAGAGTCAAACACGTCTGGACTTAACGTCAGGGGAAAACCTTTACCTTGCCTTCAAACTCTTTAGTATGGAGAGTGTGTGCTGTGTGCTTTGAGATCTCTCTCTGCTTGTGTGTCAGTAGGGATGTAGTGATTTGTATTTTTCCCTCTCTTGAAACCTTAGAAGAGGTGGGTGTTAGAGTAGCTCAGACCCAGTTCTTGATTATTAAGAAATACAGTTGTTTTTATTGTAAATAAACCTTTTGTGATATTTTTAAAGATTGGACTCTGCACGTTTGCCTCCTAAGCTCTTTGCAGCCACATCACACGACACTTCATGCTCTGCTCGCTAATGAGCTGATACTCAACTCTTGTATCCTGTTTGTTTTTGGATGCTCTGCTTTATATCTATGGTAGTTTTCCCTAACAGTTTGTTGGTATTGTTGGAGTGAGAGACCTATGTTGGAGAATTTGCTGAGAATACAAGAAGGAGAGAACCTGATTTTTTGTACATAGCTGTTTGTGTTACGGAACTGCAAGATAAAGCCTTCCTGATATTGTAACAAAACCTCTGCTATTTGCCTGTGTGTGCTGTTCAATCCAGTCTACTTCGATATTTAGAGCTAGCTTTCCTCACCCATACAATGAGCACAAGATCCAGCATCACCTTTCTGAAATGTTGAGCAGAGAACTTCTATAAGACTTTTCTCACTTCAGCAGTAGGGGTAAGTGGCTCTCCTCAACTTGATCTTGAATGTAAAAACTTGAAGGTAAAAACTTGTCTCTTTGGGCAAGCTTTTGAGAATGCAGCAGAAGAGATAACATGAAACTATGAATGATGAACATGGAATGGCCAGATGATGTTACTGGAAAATGATTTTAACAAGATGACATTAGTGACTACATATTTTAATAGTTTTTATATATGTTTTATATTGTTATGTTGACTGTTTTTAATCGCACTTTTATGAATGCATGGCATCGAATCGTGCCAATCTGTAACCCGCCTTGAGTCGCCGTATGGCTGAGAAAGATGGGCTATAAATGTTGTAAATAAATAAATTAAAATAAATCTTTGTGTGTGACTTAGATGAAGAAATTCTATTTCTTATTTCTAGTCAGTATGATGAAGAAGTCTTATTAGGATTGGGGGAAAGAGTCTTCTTGCATGGTAGGCTAAACATTAATCTCTTCCACCACGTCCTGCTACTACTGCATATTATGCTTTCTAGCTTCCCATAATAATAATAATAATAATAATAATAATAATATTTTGTCGTGTCAGGGCACTTTATTTATATTTTGTTTTATCTCCCCAGAGGAGCTGAGAGCGCATTACAATACACATATGAGACAAACATTCAATGCCTTTTACACACAGTGAACAATGACATACAACACAGACAAAGATAAAGGCCTTCCTCTTTTTCCAGTGGCATAAATCCATTAAAATCCAAAATTAAAGTTTGTGTATGGTCATAAAAATTAAAGTTTGTGTATGATCTTTAAAGAAGCTATCCAAGGTGCTGAACCCTGTTTCCAAAACACGTAACCATTTTGCTGGAATCAAAGTCAATAGCCCTCACTAAGTTTCATTTTTGAATACAACGCCCAGCTGTGTCAACTGGGGGATTCTGGGAGCCGTCATCCAAAGTAACAGCTTTTCCCATCTCTCATCTGAACCACATGACTATGACAAATTGTGACCTTCCTTTTTATAGGAATGTTACCTGGATCTCAGGAAAGGCATTATTGATGTGAGAAGGAAGACCACCTGCTGTCACATGACCACTCATGGGACCTAGACTGTTATTGGTGTAGTGTAAGGCTGAACCCAAGGAAGGGGTAAATCAGACCAGGTGTAACTGCTTCTCTGTCTGTTGGCTGCTATAAAATTATCAGTTATTATCACATGAAAACATGGCACTAAGTTGGGTGTTTAATGGAAACAAAGGAGGGCTAGGAAATAAAAGAAGAAAAAGGAGCATATGGGAGGGCAGGGAAAGACTAACACACTACCATCTAAAACACAAGGCAGTATATTGTATATACAGTAGAGTCTCGCTTATCCAACCTTTGCTCATCCAACATTTTGTATTATCCATCGCAATCTGCTTCCCACCCAGATCCACAGTTGTTTCAATACATTGCTACATTCATAAATACAGTAATTACTACATAACAATACCATGTATTGAACTGTTTTTTCTGTCAATTTGTTGTAAAACATGATGTTTTGGTGCTTAATTTGTAAAATCATAATGTAATTTGATGTTTAATAGGCTTTTCCTTAATCCCTCCTTATTATCCAAAATTTTCACTTATCCAATGTTCTGCCTACTCATTTATGTTGGATAAGTGAGACTCTACTGTACTATGTTACATGCACTGATTTAGTGTTGTTGTTGTGTGCCTTCAAGGCCATTCCAGTTTATGATAATTATAAACCAAACCTATGACAGAGTTTTCTGGGGCTGAAAGTGTGTGACTTGTCCAAGGTCACCCAATGGATTTCCATATCCAAATAGGGAACTGAACCCTGGTCTCCAGAACGATAGTCCAATGCCCAAATCATACTTTGCTGGCTCTCCATATTGATATATATATATATTGATATATAACTTTCTAAACAAAAGTATCAAATCGCTCTTCCTCCAACACCATGTTCCATCTCGGACCAGTGATGGAAGGCTACACAAAGGAGAATGCAAGCACTCTGAACGCTCTCCCCATCCCATGCTGTTTTTCTTGGGAGTTGCTAGTTCTCAATGTGTATGATATTGTCTATATGTTGGCAATGTCACCAAAGGCACAGAATCCTAATTGTTTATTTACGTGCTCGATTTCCATGAGCTATTCCCACCCACTGCGATGGTCATCCACATCAGCCATGAACACGCCAATTAAGCCTTGCATTTAATTACATACAAGTTGACGTTTCCGATAACAAAGCTTTTACCGCAGCTCCACCAAAACAAACCCTACCCTTTGGCGGCGTTGCCCGCGATGGCCGGCAGGGGGAACCCGAGAGGCGCCCGCAGACCCGAGTTGGGACGTACCAACTCGAAAGGGGGTATGGGTGTGTCTCTGTGACTGACACCAGTCGCAAGCCACTTGAGTCTGTAAAAGGAAGGAATTCCTTCGCTGGGATGAGCCCCAAGTCCTAACCAAATGGGTTTAGCTCTTGCTTAGCACCGTCCAAGCGACAACCCCCTCCTGCGCCTGGAAGTGGTACGTCCCCATCTGTCTGCCGGAGGGAGGATCGGGGAGCTGTTCCATCCTCCGCTTCCTCCTCCCTCCCCTCCAGGGTTCTGCTTGGGACCCTCCCAGCCCGGGACACGTCGCCGCAGCAGCAGCAGGAGGAGAAGCAGCAGAAGCAACAGTCAGGAGGAGGAGGAGGAGGAGGAGGAGGAGGCTGCTTCTGCATTGCCTTCCCGCCTGGAAGGAGCAGCCCCGAGATCCGCCTTCACCTTTTTCTTCAGGTGGTGAGTCAGGAAGATGGAGGGATGGGTGGGCTGAGGAAGGCTAGGATGCAGTGCCTCCTAGTTGCTCCCTTCTCATTCTCTCAGGTGACAGAAGACCTGGGCAGAGGAATTCAGAAATCAGAACAGAAGCCACCCTCTCTCCCCTTCTGAAGGCTACATCCACACTGTAGAATGAATGCAGTTTGAGACCTCTTTGGCGGTCATGGTTCAGTGCTCTGAACCCATGGGAGTTGTAGTTTTGTCAGGTCCTTTGCCTTCTCTGCCAATGAAGAAATTACGAATTCCAGGATTCCGTTGCAGTTTATTTATTTACCATATTTGTGTACTGCCTAGGGAGGGCGTTCCATAGCCGAGGGGCCACCACTGAGAAGGGCCTGTCTCTCATCCCCGCCAGATGCATCTGCGAAGAAGGCGGTTTCAAGAGCAGGGCCTCCCCAGATGATCTTAAAGTCCTAGATGGTTCATAAGGAGAGATATGTTCAGACAGGTTAGTTGGGCTAGAGCCATTTAGGGTTCCAGTGGTGTCATACCACATTAATTCTACTGTGTAGATGCAGCCCTAGCTGCCCTACAGATTTGGGGGGATGCAACTCCCATAATCCCTGACCGTCAGTGATGCTGGATGATTGATGGCAGCATCCTTTACAACAGTGGATCCCAACCTATGGTCTGTGAACCACCAGTGGTCCGCAAGAATGAAAGTATGGTCTGCGGCCTCACAATTACTACACCGTTGCCTCAAAGCCACACGGCAACTAGAGCAACTGGGCTCGCGAAGCCCTCTTATAGTGCTGAGGCAACAGGGATGTTGGGATGGGAGAGGTTGACTACCTACAAAAGATTACTGCTACCACATTAGCTGTAGATTATTACCTCATAGATGTGGTTTTCTGTGGGCGAGCAGATGGCAAGTACTGGATGGCATATGTTCTGTATCAGAAACTAGAGCTGATGTGGTCTATCTGAATCAGCACCCTAAATAACCAACCCGAATCTAAAGTTGACCAAAAACTGATTCGTAACCCCTTTGGTACTAACATTGGAGAGTGGTCCCTGATCAAAAAAAGGTTGGAAACCATTACTTTAGGTGTTTGGGACAAAAGCTCCCACCAGCCCCAGATAACTTGGCTAATGGTTGGGGATTATGGGAGTTGTAGCTCTAAACAGTGACCTGACAGCTAGGTTGACTCTCCCAAGGTATTTTCTCATGGCTTTTTCTGACAAGAGGGCTGCTTGGTAGGTAGATTGTTGGCTTGATTCATCCTTAGCTCCAGTCGTATGTATACATGTTTGTGCATAATATATATGTGTGTGTTTTGCTTGTGTATTTCTGAGATTCTGCTGTTTCTATCCTGCCCTGAAGTGTTCTATCGCAGGGTGTTGTTTCAGCAGGGAAGGAGATACCACAGTGTAACAGCTGTTGGTTGTGTTTGTGATGTAGGAGCAGTAGGCTGACAAAGGCGGAGAAGGTGATGCCGCACACAGGGAGAGCTGTCGTTCTCCGCCTTGCTGTATTTGCACACCTTATATGCCTCAATAGTTTGGTACAACAGAAATGAAGGGAACGTAGGAAAGAGGAAATGTCTCGGTGACCTGGGAGGGAGTTCGGCTTTCGGCCCCAGTAAACAAGCTCACTGGAACTGGTTTGACTTCTGCAGAGTAATGAATGCATCACTGCTACATACTGCAGTCTTTGCTTGTCAGTAAGCAAAATGGAGCAGAGAGGTCAGGGAAAATGTGTTACAGTAGTGTCACACTGAAGTTGTGTCATAGTAAAACAGTGAATATTATGTTGTCTGTTTCTCACGAGCATTGGCCTAATCCTGAGTTTTAAAAATAGCTGTAGAGTTATCTTTTATTTTGAAGTAGAATATTTCATTTCCTGCTTCTATCTTTTATATTTATCTAGAGGAGGCATGGGCAAGCTTTGGCCCTCCAGGTGTTTTGGACTTTAACTCCCACAATTCCTAACAGTCGGTAGGAGGGCCGAAGTTTGCCCATGCCTGATCTAGAAGAAGCCCCTGATACTCCTGTTTCATGTTTGTTTTCAGAGTTGGACAACTGACTATAGAAGTACTCAGTATGTAGTGGTCTGGAGAAATTAGCATTGCTAGTTTACATTTTATGTGGTTTCTGTGCATTTATTTCCATAAGGGAGAATTCTAGCATGTGCAATTCTCCTTGCTGTAGTATGTCAAGATTCAAGAAACTGCGACTGATGTATGTTTTCCATTTGCTTGTAATGGTTAAGGAAATATATGCAGGATAAATCATTCAGGTTTAGAGGACACAAAAGGCCCACCTAGGTACACAAAGAAATCCATCACTGCCAGACATTTAATCTGGGTTTAGAGTAAATCCCAGCATTGTACCATACGTGTCTTCTCATAGTTTGAGGGATTGCCTTTCCATTTAGCCCTTTACCAGGATCTCTTCAGCCTGCTTGTTGGGAGATATTTGTAGAAATGTAGTTGTTTCAGAAGAAGGAACTGGGGAAAAAATATCTGAGGCCCCTTCCACACAGCTGAATAAAATCCCATATTCTCTGGCTTTGAACTGGAATATATGGCAGTGTGGACTCTGATAACCCAGTTCAAAGCAGATATTGTGGGATTTTTTTGCCTTGATATTCTGGGTTATATGGCTGTGTGGCAGGGCCCCGGGTATCCCTTGCCTAAGAAAACCTTGTGAAGTTAATGTGGTCAACATCAGTCAACAGGCAACTTGAAGGTAAATGCAAAGACAGAGTCCTTCAGAGAAAGAATGATCTTGCAGGATGTGCTTTGGTTTTCACAAGAATCTAAGGGCCCTTCCACATAGCTGTATATCCTTGAATCCCACAATATTTGCTCTGAACTGGGTTATCTGAGTCCATGCTGCCATATATTCCAATTCAAAGCAGATAATGTGGGATTTTATTCAGCTATGTGGAAGGGGGCTCAGATTCAGCAAACACTGTACACCAGATCAGACTAATTTCAATTTAGAATATGTACTTCCTAGGAAGGTAAAGTTGTCAATTGTTACTACTCATGCTATCTATTGCGTCAAGTATCAGAATCCATATACCTCTCACTAACAGTTGCTGTGTAGTATTAACAGGATGATCGTATAGCATTCATAGCAATTCTAGGCTGCATCAATAGGAGTATAGAGTCCAGATCAAGGGAAATAGTAGCCCCACTCTATTGCACCTTGGTCAGACCTCACCTGGAATACTACGGTAGAGTCTTCCTTATCCACTCTTCGCTCATCCAATATTCTGTATTATCCAACACAGTCTCCCTCCTTATCCGACATTTTCGCTTTTCCAACGTTCTGCCAGCCCGCTTATGTTGGATGAGCTAGACTCTACTGTATGTTCACCACCATTCAAGAAGGATATTGCCAAGATAGTATGTATCCAGAGATGGCCACCAATATGATCAAAGATTTGAAAATAAAGTCCTGTGATGAATGCCTAAGGAAACTGATATATACAGCACAGAGAAAAAATGGCTGAGAGGGGATATTATAGCTTTGTTTAAATATTTGAAAGGATGCCATATTAAGGCAGAAACAAGCTTGTTTCCTGTTGCTCTAGAGCAGGGGTTCTTGAATTGTGGCTTGTGGGCTGGGTCTGGCTCATAAGGTCTTTTCCCAGACCCCTCCCTAAACGTTAGACTCGCCACTACCACTGCCTCGAAAGAAAGAGAGGTAGGAAAAAGAGATGGAAGGGGAAAGGAAAAAATAAAGGAAGATAAGAAATAGAGGGATGGAATTCAGAAAGCATGGTGTTGTGGTGAACCTCAGACTGGCTGTGAATCTACTGGGTGACTTTAGGCAAGTCATACTTTCTCAGCCTCAGTTAAAGACAAAGGCAAAGCCCTTTTGAATAAATCTTGACAAGAAAACTATGTGATAGGGTTGCCTTAGGGTCATCCTAAGTCTGAAACAACAACAACAACAACAACAACCTATAGGAGGGGTCCTCAAACCAAGGCCCGGGGGCCAAATACGGCCCTCCAAGGTCATTTACCCGGCCCTCGCTCAGGGTCAACCTAAGTCTGAAACGACTTGAAAGAACACAACAACAACAACAATGCTATCTCATCAGCCAAAAGCAGGCCCACACTTCCCATTGAAATACTAATAACTTTATATTTGTTAAAATTGTTCTTCATTTTAATTATTGTATTGTTTAAAGTGTTTTTTGCACTACAAATAAGATATGCGCAGTGTGCATAGGAATTCATTCATTTTTTTTTTCAAATTATAATCGGCCCTTCAACAGTTTGAGGGACTGTGACCTGGCCCTCTGTTTAAAAAGTTTGTGGACCCCTGTCCTATAGTATGCTCTGATACCATCGACCATGGTATCCTTCTGGGACGACTCTCTGGGATGGGTCTCGGGGGCACGGTTTTGTCGTGGCTCCGGTCCTTCCTGGAGGGTCGATCCCAGATGGTGAAGCTGGGAGACGCCTGCTCGGACCCCTGGCCTTTGACCTGTGGGGTCCTGCAAGGCTCTATTCTGTCTCCCATGCTTTTTAACATCTACATGAAACCGCTGGGAGAGGTCATCCGGAGTTTTGGAGTTAGGTGCCATCTCTACGCAGATGACACACAACTCTACTACTCATTTCCACCTAATTCCAAGGAGGCCCCTCGAGTGCTGGATGAGTGCCTGGCCGCTGTGGCTATCTGGATGAGGAAGAACAAGCTGAAGATCAATCCCGACAAGACAGAGGTCCTCCTGGTCAATCGTAAACCGGATCGGGGTATAGGGTGGCAACCTGTGCTGGATGGGGTTACACTCCCCCTGAAGTCACAGGTCCGCAGTTTGGGTGTCCTCCTGGATTCATCACTTACGCTTGAGGCTCAGGCATCGTCGGAGTCCGGGAGGGCTTTTGCACAGCTAAGACTTGTGCGCCAGCTGCGACTGTACCTCGCAAAGGCTGATTTGGCCGGGGTGGTCCATGCCTTGGTCACCTCTAGGTTGGATTACTGTAATGCGCTCTACATGGGGCTGCCCTTTAAAATGGCTCGGAAATTCCAACTTGTCCAACGAGCAGCAGCCAGGATGTTAACTGGGGTCCCTTACAGAGAGAGGTCAACCCTCCTGTTTAAGGAGCTCCACTGGCTGCCGTTTATTTTCCAAGCCCAATTCAAGGTGCAGGTGCTTACCTACAAAGCCCTAAACGGTTTGGGACCTGCCTACCTGCGTGACCGCATCTCCGTTTATGAACCCACGCACTCTTCGTTCATCCGGAGAGGCCCTGCTCGCGATCCCACCTGCGTCACAGGCGCGTTTGGTGGGGACAAGGGACAGGGCCTTCTCTGTGGTTGCCCCCCGACTTTGTAACACCCTCCCCAAAGACATTAGACTAGCACCCACATTGCCAGTCTTTAGGAAGAATTTGAAGACTTGGTTATTCCGATGTGCCTTTGCACAATAGGATAACCTCCAGCACTCTGTCCCAGAAGCACTTTATTAGAGTTTAATACTCTCTGCACATTGCACTTGCCCAGAACTCCAACATACCACCTCACACACCCAGCACTTTTAACCTGTACCCATCATTGGCCCGGCCCTGATTTTATTGTGTAATAGTGTAATGTTTTGTTGTGTTATTGCTTATGTTTTTAATTTGCTTGCATTGTTATTGTTTGTTGTTGTTATGTTGAGGCCTTGGCCTTTGTAAGCCGCATCGAGTCCTTCGGGAGATGCTAGCGGGGTACAAATAAAGTTTAATAATAATAATAATAATAATAATAATAATAATAATAATAGAGAGTAGGACATGGAGCAATGGATTCAAATTGCAGGAAAAGAGATTCCACCTACACATTAAGAAGAACTTCCTGATGGTAAGAACCATTCCGTAGTGGAATATGCTGTCTCGGAACATGGTGGAGTTTCCTTCTCTGGAGATTTAAGCACAGTCTGGGTGGCAATCTGTCATGAATACTTTGATTGTATTTTTCTGCATGGCAGAGGATTGGACTGGATTGCATGTATGATATCTTCCAACTCTTATGATTCTGTATCCTGCCTGTGGGCTTCTTATATATTTCTGGTTGGTTAATGTTAGGAGCAAAATGTTTGATCCTGAAGGATTCTTAATATGTGAAATAATTCAGACACCAGGAATTTGTTCTGACTACCAGAACTGAATAGAGCTCATAGAACTTCCATATAAAATCTGCTCCATATTTTTCCTTATTTCAGCAATATACTTTAGGGTGGTGAGGGAGTAATGTTGTTGCTATTATTGTTAAATATCATGAGTCAGAAATCCTTTGCAGCTAATCTACTTTTTAAAAAGCCCACAGAAATTAACCAGTAGATCCAGATTTGCCTGGATCTGTGCCAGTTCAATAATTGCCTGAAACCTATATTCTCTAGCTGGATAATTACTTATTTCCTTCCCAATCTTCAGATTGTTTTGGGGGATGACTGGCATTTTCAGGTGGCTTCTGAAGACCCAGAATTGACATTTCCTATCCTCACAAGGCTACTAAGGAAGAAAGTGATATTTATTTATTTATTTACTATATCCCACCTTTCTCAACCCCGAAGGGGACTCAAGGATAGTGATGAATGCCTCTATTCGATTGATATGTGCTTTATACTATATTCAGTTACACATGCTTGTTGTTGTTCTGCTCTGTGTTATGAAGTTGTCTTCAACTTACGGTGACCCTATGGATGAGAAAACTTCAAGAGCCCTGGTCATCAACTGTTGTGCTCAAGTCTTGTAGACTCATGGCCATAGCTTGAATCACTCCACATGCAGCATAGTCTCCCCCTTTTCCTACTGCTTCTCATTTGCCAAACATTATCATTTCTCCAGTGAATTATGTCATTTCAAAAGTGCAAGAGCTTCCATTTAGTTATCTTCATATCTAGTAAGAGTTCAGGTTTCATTTACTCTTAACTTATTCATTTGTCTTTTCAGCAGTCCATAGTATCTGTAGAAAACTTTTCCAGCACCATATCACAAATGAGTTGATTTCCTTCCTGTCAGCTTTCTTTATTTCACCATGTTCATAGAAATTAAAAATACTGTGGCCTGGACGGTTCTGACTTTGGGATTTAACAACTGCAGTCTCTTGCTCTAAGAAAGCAGTCTCTCATATTTACATTATCTTTTGGTTTCATTAAGAGTTGATTATTAACTTGATCATAAAGGTTAGAGGAACTCAATTCCTGTTGGCATGTTCCTCCATAAATTAAAGTATGGTAATTATAATTTATTGGCCAATAGGTTGCTGAAATACCAAATATACTCCTGTATAAGTCTAGATATTTCTGTCAAAAAATCAGCTCCCCAAAATTGGCTAGACTTATTCACAGGTCAGTGTGATTACCATGCCATAACTATTATATAAAAAAGAAACAGCTCCTTTTCTGAGGAGAATGGTAAAAGGCAAGATCTAGCTCATCCCAATAGGACTTGAGGAAGCATTAGTGCTTTCTCTTCTCCTTGGAATGACCCTCGACTTGTTCGCAGGTCATATCACAATCCATACTTTTGCCCCAAAACCTACCAATAGCTTTATTATTATTATTATTATTATTATTATTATTATTATTATTAATAATAATAATATTCCACCTTTCTTCCAGTGGGACACTCCGGGTGACTAACATTCCCATACTATACAAGTTTAAAAAGTGCAACACAAAAGTTAAAGTTAATTAAAATACAATAAATACACTTAAAATGGCCTTTATAACTCATACCCCCCCCCCCCCACTCAATCCTACTCAATTTCCTCAAAGTCTACCCCTTTATCCTTCCCCAAATGCCTGTTGGCAGAAAAAGGTCTTGACTTGCTTGTGGAAGGCCAGCAGGGATGGGGCCATCCTGGTCTCCCTTGGAAGGAAGTTCCACTTGCACACACAGTTGATTTATACATGAGTAGTATCTCTGCAATTGGTAAATTTAAGCAAATAAAATTATGCCATTATTGGTCTGCTGGTGATGTATAGGTTTTCAATAAGTGAAAGTGAGTTTATTTAGGCTTCATCTCAAGTCCATTAAAATGAAGGTCAAGAGTACATTTTCTTCCAACTGTTTACTTATGCAGGCAGGAATACCATAAAGGGAACTATGGTAGGGAAAATCTTTTGACTTACTGGAGAAGAACACCACTAGATACTACTCAGCAGCTGTTGCAATGGTTAAGGGATTCAAAATGTTTTTACACTGACTTTTATGATTTCTACATTTACTAGCTTTAATATAATATAATGGATTTCCAAATAATGTTACAGTTTTTAAATGTTAAATATATGATACTTGGAATATTACATTCAAGATTTTCTATGCAGCTTCTGTTGACTTGTTTTTACTAGAAGATAGTGCAGGGGTCCTCAAACCTTTTTAGCTGAGAGCTGGTTCAAGGTCCCCCAGTCTGTTGGGGAGCCTGGACAATAGTTTAAAAAAAAACACGAGCGAATTCCTATGCACACTTCACATATCTTATTTGTAGTTTTAAAAAAACCCATGAAAGAACAATACATTATTTAAAATTAAAAACAAGTTTAGCCAACATAAACTTCCCAGTATTTCAGTGGGAAGTGTGGCCTTGAAATTGGCTGATGAGATAGTCTAGTTAATTTGGATTGTGTGCCTTCAAGTCATCTCAGACTTAGGGTGATCCTAAATCTAAAGTTTAGGGCAGGGGGTAGGTAAATGACCTTGGAGGGCCACATCTGGCCCACAGTCCATACCCTAAAATTACAATTTGAAGACATGCAACGACATTAATGGGATGGGTTTATTTTGTGGAGCTTGAATTTAATGGAAATTAATAAAAATAACTTACTTTTAATTTTGCTTTTGCTGTCTCCTTGGCTGTGCAAACAGTCCCTGAGTTACAAACATCTGACTTACAAACAATTCATATTTAATAACAGGAGTGAGACAACAGGAAGTGAGAGGAATCTACCCTTCAGAAGGGAAATTCACTCTTGGAAGAGTTATTATGGGGAAAAGGAGTTTCCACTGAAGCTTTCTCAGCAATCTTTGTTTCCACAACAAGCCATTTTTTTTCAAAATCCAGTTATCACAGGGACAGAAAATGAGATGAAATCTTCAGAACAGGGGCACAAACAGAAAAACAAACACCACAGGAGTGTTAATCCTTCTCTGTGCCATCCAAAGCTTGTGTGTGTGTGTGTGTGTGTGTGTTAGAGTTACACTTCAATACAAATTCAACTTAAGAACAAACCTACAGAATCTATCTTTTTCATAATTTGGGGACTGTCTCTATTTGCAAAGATTTCTGAGAAATAATCCATCCAGTATATCAAGTGTCTTTGGAATTCTTACCACTTGCTTCTTTATGTTTTCTTTTAGTTTCCCAAGAAGGTTTGGGCAATGAAAAATTAAAATGGACCCAGAGGAACAGGAACTGCATGGTGATTATCGATACAGAAATTATTCTTCAGCAATTGACAAAGCTTTGAGGAACTTTGAATCTTCAAGTGAATGGGCAGATCTTATATCTTCTCTTGGTAAACTTAACAAGGTTGGTGGTTGCTTTTTCATAATTTTAAAATACCTTTTTTTAACAATACAAAATAGGTTTTGGTGAGTTTTTATTGATTGTATCAGAAGCGAATCAAGGTACAGTTGTAATGTATTTGAAAAACACAAAAGTTTAATACTTGGCATTATATTAAATGTCCTTTAACCAGTAGCTGGCCACTTGGGATGCCTCTGGTGTCGCTGTAAGGAGGTCCCCTATTGTGCATGTGGCAGGGCTCAGACTACATTGTAATTGGTGGTCTGTGGTTTACTCTTCATTAGGCTGATGATGAGCAGGTTCTGGTATGTATTATAATACAAAAAAGAAGAAGTCATAAAATAAAACTTCTGATAGCTTTGATTAAGGAGGGAATGTTCACAAAGCTATCAGATTCTACACATAGAAATTCCCCATGCTTATACTGGAGAATTTAATTGTTGATTGGTTTCTAATTTCTTTTATTTCTGTTTGCAGCATAACCTTTGTCTTGTTCTTTGAACTGGACTTATGCATAGCTTTTGGGCTCCATCTGAGTGGATAGAGAAGAGAAATCTTAAATAAAAGTGACTTCTAAAACCAGCATTTAAAAAGGCTCTTTAGTTGCAGGAAAATGAATCAGGAGCTAAAGATTTGTCTTCAACTGATGGCTGAAAGTACTGTTTTTAATGTTATGGGGAAAAAATAGCAACTTACGTTCTGATCTTACCTCTATGAGGAAACACATTGCAAGATCTGTCTCCTGTATCATAACTGGTAGTCTGTTAGCCTGCTAAATTTAGTCCAAAATAGAGAAGTAGAACTAGGAACTAAAGCAGGCATGTGACATGGGAAATCTTTGATGTTAATATGATAAACTTATAGGCAGGCCCGTAGCCAGGCTGAGTCTGAGTGAAAGAGGGTCTACCCTAGCAAACCTTTTGTATTGTTACCCCAATACCCCATGCATATGGGATATATTGAGTATGGTGATCAGATCATGATATGAATAAACATAACAGTTTAAATTATGCACCAGTAAGGCCTTTTCGTGAACCACCATGAGAATTTGGGGGGGAGGGCTGAAGCCCCTCAAGCCCCCCCCCCCCCCCCGGCTACATGCCTGCTTATGGGTCAGTGTTACCTTTTTGAATGCATACCCAATAACTAAACCTTTGACCTTTAAAAAGAATAATTTATTTGTAAAACTGTAGAATTAATGTTTATTAACAGCCTGAGGGTTTGTTTTTTTTACTATGAGAAGCTGTTCATTAGATGCTTTCAAAATAATCCTATGCTGATAAATTTATTTTCTTGACATGTGCCTCTTGAAATATGTGATGTCCTTTTTGATTGCTGGAATTTGTATTTTTCTTTATTTTTTTCTACATTAAGTGCAATTAGGGCACTAGATTCTGTTTGTTCTTGGAAGATAAACTGGGTCAGCTGTGGTCAGTACTTGGATGGGAGACAGTCAAGAGATATCACATTATCTGGGTTATATCTCAGAGGAAAGAACTAACAAAACCACCTCTGTGTATTTTTTGCCTATGAAGGCAATTTATGGAGTTGTTATACGTTAACAGAAGACTTGAAACCACATACACACACCATTTTGAACTTTTTACTAATTTTCCTTGTTTTCTATAAACGTTAAAGAGTAGTTAATTAGAGCCCCATTATACCTGCAGAGAAAATAACTTCGTTTTAATCAAGTGAATCTTACTGTGAGAGGAATGGGCTCTTAAAAGTCTTAAGATCTTGCAAATTGCAGAATGCAAATGCATGTGCCATCATGGCTAAAAAGAGAGTTGGTGCCTTCCTATCTCCATTGGGACTATAGACATTTGATGAGTTACTTAAAGGGGCTTTTTGATAGATGTAAAATATGTAGCTGTAAGACTAGGAATTAGATTTGTAGAGTCTTTCCATTCCACCAGCTTTTCTATTCCATTAGTCCAGGGGTAGGGAACCTTTGGCCCTCCAGCTGTGGTGGACTTCAACTCCCACAATTCCTTGAGGCTCGGCATTCGCCCCAAAGGCTTACCTTGGCCCAATGCCGAGCCTCAAGGAATTGTGGGAGTTGAAGTCCACCACAGCTGGAGGGCCAAAGGTTCCCTACCCCTGCATTAGTCCATCTGCTGTAGGGTTTTTTTAAAAATTCTCTTAATCTTCTTAGGCTGTGTTCAGGCCAGTATTCTCATCCTATGTTATTTTAGTGTTGCTTTTCACAATCCCATAACAAACAATCATTGTGTTTTCCACATATGTATAATTTCCCCACAAGACATGAGAAATTTTCTTTACTTTTCAGTGTGTGTTACTAAAATGTGCAGTTTTACTTGTAGAGAATCCCACACCTATTTCAACAATTAGAACCCTTTTCCAAAAGGAAATGTAAGCGAGGGGAGCTAGGAAATCGTTTAAACAGAGTTCTCATTAGCTAGTTTTAATTTCTGTTAAGAGAAAGTAGCATACAGTTCAGGAAACAATAAGATGGCAACGTTTTACACATGACATATGTACTGAGAAAAATTACATCTATGGGAATTTCATATGCTCTTCTGTATTTTATCTTTATGTGGATCACACCAACAGATACTGGAAAACTCCTGAAATCAGTCCATCTGATGACATTCTTTAATACAATAAAAACTGCCATAGAATTGGTTCTCAGGCAAGGTCGCTTTATGTTGTTGGATTGCATCACCTACCATTCCCAATTTTTGGCTTTAGAGCCTGTGTGTCATAGGAGATGTAGTCCATTAACATCTGAGGACCAAAGGCCTGGAATCACTGACAATGCCTTTTGCCAAATACTTCATGGTAAAAAGTCAAACTAGGAATGCTACAATAATTTGATATGGCCAAGCTGGAATGTGTCCAGAGGAGGGCGACTAAAATAATCAAAGATCTGAAGAACAAGCCGTATGAGGAGTGGCTTAAAGAGCTGGGCATGTTTAGCCTTCAGAAGAGAAGGCTGAGAGGAGACATGATGAGGGCCATGTATAAATATGTGAAGGGAAGTCATAGGGAGGAGGGAGCAAGCTTGTTTTCTGCTGCCCTGGAGGATGCGGAACAATGGCTTCAAACTACAGGAAAGGAGATTCCACCTGAACATTAGGAAGAACTTCCTGACTGTGAGAGTTGTTCAGCAGTGGTACTCTTTGCTCTGGACTGTGGTGGAGGCTCCTTCTTTGGAGGCTTTTAAACAGAGGCTGAATGGCCATCTGTCAGGGGTGCTTTGAATGCAATTTTTCTGCTTCTTGGCAGGGACTTGGGCTGGATGGCCCATGAGGTCTTTTCTGACTCAATGACTCTATTATTTGCCTGCTGAAAAGAATTTTGGCTTAACTCTAGAAAATGTGATCTTCTTAAAATGTCCGGGCAATAAAATTATTACCTTGGTTGCCTCAAGAGTTTGGAAAGTATTCTTCCATACTGGCAAATGAATAAATAATGAGATTATTGGTACATTTTGTAGTACAGTCAGCCCTCTGGATTTGCTTAAAGGCACAGAACTTATGTGGAAGTGAAAAACTGTAAGAACCTCTGGGTCCTCCATCACAACCCAGTGGCCAACTCTGGAGGACCTATACTTTCCTAAAGAGAATATTTTAATCAAATCTGCAAATAATCAAATGTCAATAGTCAAACCTCCAAATGTGGAGGCTGAGTGTAGTACAAAACCTGCAATGTATCAGTGAAATAAACATTGTGTTATTGTAATACAAAGTCATACTGTACAATGGAAGTTTTCCCCCTAAATATGCTGTTCCTGTGAATAGAGGCGTATGGTTAGTTGCTGTAGGGCTTGTGGCTGAGCCCAGTGTGACTACAGAAGATCTGGCACAATGCATAACAAGAGTGGCATCTGCTGAGCATGAGTGGCAGAAATACTAGTGTCTGTGCATCTTACTTGTTTTAATAGGATCTGGTGAGGCCCATAGATGTGTGGACAAACTATGACAGTGCTAGGGTAAATCCAGTTGACAGACTTGAAGATAATGACTCACAATGCAATGTGAATGAGTGTATTGGTGGTATGAGTTACTTTTACTTTCTTTACTTGTACTTTCTGCTTTGACAACTGACAGCAATTTCAACATATTGTTGAACAGCAAATATTGTTTGAATACTACATGATTGAACAAAACAACATATCATCAGCGCAAAGGTTTCACTTTGCATTTCACTTTTTAAAGGTTTTCACTTTGCATTTCACTTGTTAAAATCTCAATTCTTTTCATTTTAACATGCAACTTTTTCAATAAGGTGTAGTCAAATTAATTGTTCTAATTTCAATGGCTTTTGCTGAGAACAATAACTGATATTTTTTTAATAAATGATACTATTTTTGTAAAAAAAATAATTCCTGTAAATTTTTTGTTGTGCTGCATTATTTGTGCATAATGCACCTGAAACAAGGCAATGGCAGATGAGGGTTTTTAAACCAGAAATATGTATGAACAAACATGGTGTTATATTAGTGGATATTTTTTGGCTAAAAGTAGTCGTTTTCTCATTTTTCACCTGCCATGATTTCATTTATTTGTGGGTCTAATTCAAGATGCTGATACAAACTGTTTTGAAGCAGGAATTGATACATTGCAACTTTGATGTTATTTAATTGTGGTTCTCAGCAGCTCTAACTAGCATAGACAGTGGAAAGGAATGCTGATAGGTGTAGTTCAACAACATCTAGAGGGTTACAGCATTCCCATCCCTGTTTTAAAATGGTAAAGGGTTTTGAGATCAGCTAAACAAGTTGCTTGAAGAAGTGTCTTGCCCCACAGTGTCTTGTCCCACAGGATCTGATCCCAGGTTTTCTGTTTATCCCAGATTATTTGGCAGTTCAGGCTCATATAATCCATTTTAAAGCAGAAAATCTGGGATCAGATCCTGGGATATAGGGCCTGTCTGGAAGGGCCCTTAGAGTGAGGAGTTAATCTTCAAATATTCTGCTTATTTTACTGAGAATTTCAAGCAAACACTTTCTACTGAGTCATTTAATCATGAGTTTC